GACAGTGTTGGGGAAATTCCTTGTTTTCTGGCTGTTGGGGAAAATTAATGAGTTCAGTTGGGCAATTTAGCTGGACAGAACAGCACCACGGCGTGGTAAGACACAGTTTCACACCTTCAGTCTCCAAAATTGTGAGTTTGCATTGTAAGGTGAATTGTCAGGGTTAGGTTCTGAGCAGTGGCAAGAACTTCCTACATTGAGAGGGATTTGCTGAGTTTCTGCTGTGTCTCTTAGAAGGCTGTTTGAGACACTTGTTAAAGATTCAGATCAATGGCATCTTTACTTCAGATCAATGGCATTTAGTAATTATCTTTGAGACATTTTTCTCAGAAGTGCTTTTAGATGTTCATATGCTCTATATGAATGCAAGTTATTTTTGGTTGGATTATATTTCCAGATGCCTTGAGACCAATCTTAATCTGTGTAGTTTAGTGTTTCAAAGGCCATGTTACAAGTCTTACAGTTTTACTTTGTTGGTGCCAATTAGGCTCTCAGATTGTATCTGAGATACTCTTGCTGCAGTTTAGGATACTAGCATCTGCTAATAATAATCATCCTTGCATTTGATATAGGTATAGATATTATCAGGTTGTTGAAACGTCTCAAAGCACGTTGTATACATATACTGTAAAGTGAATTGACTATATTTTGTGGGAATAATGATATCCTAAGGATGTGTAAACTGTGCTCAGTCTAGCAACCTACATTTATAGAAATAACTTGCAATGTGTGTGGGTGCAGATACTGTAAAGCAAATAGGAAGTGCAAAATGGGTGTGTCAAGGCCTATTGATTAGGAAGCCTTTGGCAATTTGAAAAGCTGGAAGTTTAGATTTTGATGTCGGGCTGTCATAGAAATTTTTTTTGAAAGAATATTTTGTGTATCAGTTTGGCTCAGTTGACTCTTACCTTTGTATGAGGAATGTTATGGGATTGTACTCTTTACCATGAGTTGAGCTCATAATCTATCCTAAAATTAAAATGCAGTACTAAATGCATTATCAAAAGTGCTATATTTTGGATGAAATGTTAAACTAAGTTCCTGCCTTTTCTGATACTCCAGATAGATGTTAAAACATTTTATGGTGCTATTTTGGAAAAGAAAACAGTGAGTTCTAGTCTGTTGGCCAATGTTCCTCACTTATTCAAATTTACCACGAAAAAAACCCAACCATTCACCTCAGTTCTGTTTGTGATTGTATCATTATAATGGTAAATGACTACTTTTTTCATTGTGAATGAACAACTGTTGATCTGTACAGAATTCAGCCTAGGGTTAGCCAGCAGTTCTGAAACATGGAAAAATGAAGGCAAAGGCAACAGGATGTAATCAACTGAATTTATCAGATATGGGTGTGGAGCCACTTCATAGAAGCATAATTCAATCAGCAGTTGAAACAAACTTGTATTTCGATGCCGTGCATAAGGTGCATTAGTACACAAAGGCGAATGAATGACTTCATATCATGCAATTACTGTAGTGGCGTGTGTCAATTTATGGGATTACAGGAGATGACTTTTAAAAGACAACTATTGTACTTTTAATCTGCGCTGTGTGGCAAATCCAGAGTATCTTTGCTTCCCAGTTATTTTCCATGGCAAAATGTTTTTGCATAACTTGGCAAAAAAAAGTACAAACTAAAAGTTGAAGTTAAATTCTGAAACATCAAAAGATTTGAAAAGATGAAGAATGCACAACAAGATCAGATCACCTTGTTTACTAAATGCTTTGCTACAGGGCTTGAAATGAATACCGCAGAAGCTGTGACCGAAGAGAAGTCCAACGTGGCAACAGAAATAACACCCGAACTCTAATGTGTTTGAAACCTGATGCTGGAATTCAGGCTCAGGTTTCAAACGTACAGGTGCCTGTTTAAAAGAGCTGCCCTGCATTATACTATCAGTGCCAATTTGGAACTAACAATTTATGTGGGTTATGTTGCAAGAGGAATTTTATAACCTTCTGCCACTATTAACTACTCAGTTACATTTCTGGAGATGATGAGCGTCATCTGTGGTGTTCAGTACATGCTTGGTATTTACTGGAATAGATTTGATGCACCAACTCTTCCCATTGTTGCTGCCATCTGTGTAAAGAATTGGTTTCAGCCTCAGAGCAGAGTAATTGTAGAGTAAACTAATCATCATTCTTCTTTCTGGAATGTCCAAATTTTCAGGAGTAAGAACTTCTGAAGCCCAAGATTTTGCTATGGTGTGAAGTATTTTGGTTGTGTTTGTGGACAGGATGATTTCTCCAGTAGATCACTGGGAGCCCCTAGTGGAAGAAACCTGGTATCGGACTGTCGTAAACTCTTGATACTGTCAGGTCCTTGACCGACTTGAAAGTGTTTAGGAGTGGCACAGAGAAGTGACGGTCCCTTTTGGTATTTATTATTTGATCCTTTTGGGAAAATGCTTAGCACGTCTGCCTCATGGCATATGTGTTCATTGTGTTCAGACGCACAAAAAAGATGGTTCCGGACAATCTGTAATATATCGGTGCTCTTAACACACTGCGACTGTATCTCTCTTGAAAACACAGGATTTTTTATATTATAATGGGATCATACTGAACAGTCAAATAGACAGATGTAGGGAAAATGAAGTTGTAGATGTGTTTGATACGATCAACAGGATGTGATTTCTGGTATATTAAGAACCTGGATCCCATTACTCATAAGATGTGGCCACCTGCTTCCTTGAAGCAGAAAATCAAAGTTCATGTTTTTCCATTCCCTTGAGTTTTTTTTATGTAGGTCTGTGTTGAAACCTGTGTGGTCTATTTAAATGACGATCTGTTATTTTCAAATGGGTACTTGTGGGTTAGGTTAGCCTTGGGTTGGAGAACTTCCATTCTTGCACTGCACATAAAATGTCTTTTGTGGACTTTGAACCATTTCTCCCAGTCCTTTGGTTAGGCAAAATTTGCGTTCTGTATTTCAGGTGATGCAATTTGATAGCAACCACATTGCCAGTTGTTCTGGGAAATGGGGGGGTGGAGGGCATTTTCTTTGAAAAACCCACATACCACAATTATTGTCTCACCTATCCTCATGCAAACTTTCAGTTGGTTTTGTGAATCATTGCCTCTATATTATTGCATGCATATGTAAAGGAGGTACATATGTGTTTAATTTCGCTTGATGGGGTGGGCAACGCAACAGACATGAAACAGGCCAGAGCCTGCTGAGCGGAGGCTATACTGAGAAAATACTTTATGACACAGATGTCAAAGGGTTGCTGGCTCTTCATTGAGGATCTTTTGAGAGGGCTGGGTTCTTGGAAAACATAGAAATAGTTTGCCAAGAAAAAATTTATTCAATGATTTTGGCCAATTTGGTGGCAGATTCATCCTCAGTCTTGGACTTCGCAATGCGTGTATGTTTTATCTATTTTGTTTAAAGTTTGTACAAAATGTTATTTATTTTTAGCAGTGGTTAAGATTGATGTAATGGTGTCATAAATGCATTCCTCTGCAACCAGACACTAGTGTCTCTTTAAGTCAAATTATCTCATTGTTCTGTTTGCATATATAGCGTGTTGGGATCATAGATTGCCTCTTAGGTTGGTGGGGGTGATTGAATTACAAAAGTATTTGTAGAAAATTTAGATTAATGTTTAATAAATAATCCTTGCACTTGATATTGTGCTTTTTTGGTCAGACAGTCTTTGGCACATGCAGAGACCCATCACTATGCGTAAGAGTATCCAAGCCAGAAAGAAAGCTCTACATATGTATTCAATACCATCTTCCCATGGAGGTTTCCTTGAGCCTGGAATTGAATGCACACTTTCTTCAGAGGCACACATCCAATTCATCTAATTCTGGAGAGTATTATGTGCAGGTTGGCTAGAGGCAAGGTTTGGTGACCTCAGTGTGTGCATTTGGTCTTCTCAACCTTATAGGAATTATGTTAGTGGCAAGGATTATTTTGTTACAGTATTAAGATTCCTTGGTGTGTTCACAGGAGTCAACATAGGGGAAAGCCAAAACAAGCCTGTGCCAATATATGTCTTCCTGGTGGGTGGTACATGAGCTTGTTTTGTTATTTGGATTAAAAAAAATAATAAATTGGTCACTCAATCCATGACAGTTTGTGGGACACTGCTGGGTGCAATTGACTGCTGTGTTTTGCCCACAAAATATACAGTCAATTCACTTTACAATATACTCTGTGAAGCGCTTTGAGACGTCTAGAAGACGTGAAAAGCGCTATATCAAATGCAAGGATTATTATTATTTCTAGTCTATGCCATAAAATAATGGATTGTGTTCACTGCGAGGTGTAGTAATGCGTGTGGCTCCGTTTTGTTGATTTATACAAGGGTGACCATAGAACAGAAAAACAAAATAACAAGTCAATTAAAACAAATAAACTGTAATAACTATAGAGAAATAGCCAGAAGACTGAGAAATAGAGGGAATCATGAATAAATGGGAAAGGAATATTGAGGACAAACCAGTGCAGAAGTGGCTGATGATGTAATCTCAACAGTTATTTGTGCAGCTATTACTGGGTGGTGCTTGCAAGGTAAAGTTACTTGTAAGATATGTTATTTGTGTTGATACACGGGGGTGGTAACAATGCAGCACATTCTGTGGCCTCCCACTGCCAATAGTGTTCAAAACCTGAAACTTTTTTTTAAAATTCGGGAATTGAAACGCTTTCACAGAACATCAGTCGCCGGTGCAACTTCTGATCCGGGAGTGCAACCGTCTCATTGGGTGAGCAAAGCCGAGAGAGAGAGAGAGAGAGAGCACACGAATTCATGTATTAAAACAAATCTGCTGAGAGGGGAAAGTTGCTTTTGTTGCCCCCCTGATGTGGCTGAGGTCCCCCCTACTCGTCGCAGCATTTCCTTCAGGTCCAGCTGCAGCATCATGTTGAAAGTTTGCAAGGAATCAGGACACATGGCTTGAGAAAAAAAACACGACGAGAAAACGTGAGAAATTAAAAAAAAACCTCCCCCATTGCAAGTCACTGTTAAGTACTGGGTGTGTGGGGGGGGGGTTTGAAAAAAAAATCTCATACCTCTGTAGCCTCTCTTGTTTGGCAGCTTTCCAACTTCCTGTGTGATGTCATGGTTTAGATTGGCTTCTTCGCTCTGCAGAGCTTCTGCTCTGAGCTCCTGGCAGCTGAGTCAAAAGGAAAGAGAAAAGCCGGCGTTGTTGGCGGTGGCTTTGCACAAGGAAGCAAATTGCCATTGGTCTGTGCCAGAGTGGCCTGGGAGGGGGGGGGTGCAAAAAAAAGGGGAGCAGGAGGGCGACCGAAAAGCATTGTCAAGCAAATCGGCAGAGCGAGCTTTTGCAAAGCGGTGTGCAAATTGCAAGTCTGCGAATAGGGGCCCCGAGGAGAGTTCAGCGAAGGTCTTTGAGTTTGTGCATGAGACTTCCCCGAAAGGCACGTCACGCCTCAGCTGCACTTCTGGGAACTCATGGACAGGAGTAAGTTTTGCAATGTTAAAGGAGCTCGGACAAAATGCATTATTTTACCTTAAGTGTTGCGTGTGTGTGTGCATGTGTGTGTGTGTGTGCATGTGCGTGTGTGCATGTGTGTGTGTGCGCGGGTGTGTTTAGAAAAGTTAGATGGAGCTCACTCGCTTGCAGAATTTTTTGAGCTGACTTGTTTACTGCGAGGGAAAGCAACCCTGTTGCACAATCAACATTTTTTAAAAAAAAATTATATTAAAAAAAAACCAGTAGCTTGCTTGCTGCACACTTTAAAAGCAGGGAGTTACCGTGAGCTGCAGAGACGAATGGAACCAGCTCCTCGGGAGGCTGGGGTTTGCTGCCATTTGCACGGTTGCATGCAATTTTCACCACTTAAAAGTGACCCTGCGTGCCTGTGTTTGCAGGGCCTGCGTCGATCGGTGCTCACATCTGCAGTACAGAGGCTTCCCTATTCAAATGCACGCTGTTTAATGGCCCCACTGTTCTTAGGAGTGTTCATTTGGAACGGAGCATTCGCTTCCACTCCAGTTGCTCATGTGCTGGTTTGCTTGATCGAGGCAGTGGGATTGCTGATTTTTTTTTAAAAAAAAAGCGGTTTGCCTTGTAGAAATTCGATGCCATGTTCTCAGGATCTACGTTTGCATTGCCTCGGTTGTTGTTCGTAGAGCTGTGCATTAGTGGCATGATAAAGCAGGATGCTGATAAAATAATGTGTCGGTGCAATATTTTCACTGTTGCCGTTTTTAAGGACGCTTCATGCAATTTTGAAAGTGCACTTTTTGATCTAAAGTTTCAGCGTTCGTTTCAAAGCAGTGAGGAGGCAATATATTGTCCAGCTGCAAAAAAAAATGCTTTAATTGTGTGATGGAAATGGATGGAAATTGATATTTTACTCCAGTTTGGTGGCCTGGTCGCTATTGGGTAATCTTAGAGTAACAACTGGCTGGCTACAAGAAGTACAATGCAGCCCACTTATTCTCAGGCAAAAGAACTTGCTTAATGTTTTTCCATTTTTCTTTCTGCTTTCTTGGAATCGCAAGTTTCTTTGATCTGTACATTTTTACATACCAGTTCCTGACTGAGTAGGAGGGCAGGTGTTGCCTGCCTTTTTATATAGAAAAATTCATGTTTAATAACATTCGAAGCACCTTGTGCATATTCGGTCATCTTTCTGCCTTTGTATATGCCACATTGTTAGAAACCTCACCAGCACATATATATTATATATGGTCTTTAAATTTGAAATGCAATACATTAGTGGTTTTCAAGAAATATTTTGAAATATAAACCCAAGTACAGTGTGTTATTATTATACTTTGCACTGCATCACCTGACTGTTGTTACTGCTTTTGTTCACCTTCTCTCCAATTCTTTGCAATCTGGCCCATGTCCGGCACAGTAGGCCTTTTGTCTAAAGTCTCTCAGTTTAAAAAAAATGTTTAATGTTTGAGTTGCATTTGAGCATTCTAAAGCTACGTGCCAATACTTTGCACACTATGCCAATATTTTGTACACGGCCTATTAATATTTATAGGTTTGCATAATCACACTAACTTATGCATCATATAATCTCCTGTTTTCCTTTGCCCCAGTACAAATGGTGGATGAATCATCCCAAATAAAAATTCTTGTGAATAAGTGATTATATTTTTGGAATTTAGATTTGCATAAAGGAAGTCTAAATTGTAATAATAACCTTTTTTCTCTGTTGAATTCCCTTTGCTCTGTTTTGACAGTTATTGCTTTGCAAGTATTCACAGAAGAGTGAGGGTTTGGGGAGGGAGGAGAGAAAGAATACCCAGTTTCCATTTGCTACTTGCTGCATGTTGAGAATAGAAACTTGCTGTGTAAGGGTAATATGGGTGCAAATCTCTGCTTCAGACCAATGTGCCAGCAAACCATTGGGCCTCTCTTAAAGGAAGGATTCATAGATTAATTCAGTATTGCATTACTTTTGAGACTTGCGAGGTTTGTGTGCGTGCGTGCGTGTGTGGAGGATGTATGACCATATTTAGAAGCAAACATACTTAACAAGCTTCTCACACCATTGAAAGAACACTGTTAATCTAAGTGTGAATAGCTTCTGTATGTTCATTGTTCTGACTATCAATAAGTTAATTGGTTTGCTGCAGGTTCCCCCACTTCCGTTGTGGAGAGAACAGGGAAACGTGTTGGCATAAAAGTAAATAAATAAAAAGTAATAATAATTTGGTCACTCATTCCACAAATGTTTGTGGGACCCTACTGTGTGCAATTGGCTGCCCATTTCGCCCACAAAATATACAGTCAATTCACTTTACAGTATATTCTGTGAAACACTTTGAGACATCTCGAAGACGTGATAACGTGCTAACTCAAATGCAAAGACTATTTATCACTATTATTAAAAGCTATCTCATGTTTTTTTCAATAGCTTGTGAATGCCCTACGTGTGTGAATGCTTGCTGCAGTCCCGATACAATATTACAATAAATTCCTGAAGAGGGCTTTGAGACGTTTAAGATGTTATAGGTGGTTTATCGAATGATTATTATTATAATTGTAATGCTGGTGCTTTCCACTCCAAACATTGGTACAAAGCCAATGTTGCTTTTTCTTTGTCCCATTGCAAATACTGTAACTGCAAAAAAACAGTCTAGGAACAGAAGCTGAGGTCCTTCACAGCCTCGCACAACCCTCTCTGTCAGATCATCTGTGACTCTATTCCCATGCCCACTCCTTCAACTCATGCCACCCACACTCCCCCACACCATGAAGTGGCAAGCTTTCAACGCATTTCCCCTTCCCTTTAGAACTCTCTCTTGAAACCCCTCCATCTCGCCCTTTCCTGCCTGCCTTGAAATTTTGCCAGAATGCCTCCTCTTTGCATGTTTAGTCACCTTTTTTTTTAAAAAATAAGAGATTTAAATTGTGTTAACACCGAGGGGTCTTTTGTTTGAGGAACAGAGAAGGGATTTCTGAACCTGAGCTTCTTAACAGTGTAGTAGCTATTTCTGCAGCACAGCTTCATTGTCCCACGGAATCACAGTGGACCTGGACAATGATGTTGTAGGTGAGAAACTAACGTCTCAACCGGGTAAATTCAGACACCCACAAGAATCGATTTTCACAGTTACCAACTAGGTTACTGAAACCCACTCTGCCATGGTCTGCACGATCCCATGGTACTATTCGGGGGGGGGGGGAGTTTCTCCCAGTGTCCCAGCCAGCAATCCCCCAGATAAAATTGGTTACTGACATCATGGCTATTTGTGGGACATCGCTGTACACAAATTGGCCTCTGCATTCTCCTACAAAATATGCAGTCACTAGACTTTACAATAAAAACTTTGATTTGCAACAACTTGGTGACAAAGGATGCTGGTGCGCTTATATAGTGCATCAGATAGGACACAGGGATGTCCCTTCTCAGTCGCATGTTTTTGAAATGAGACACCAACAAAAACTTGCTTTACATAGTGCCTTTCACGTCAGTCTCAAAGTGCTTCACAAAGGCGATGGGGCTCATTGAGCAGGGAGGTAATGAGGAGAAATTTAAGGAGTTATTGTCACCAAGAGGTGAGGTGCTGTGCTTTTGTAGTGTGTGGGAAGTGGCAGTCGGAAAACAAGTCAACTTGCACTGCTCTTCTGCTCCTCCCGGGCAGCTGCTTAAAGAATCAAGTTGATGGAAAAAGGGAAAAAAAAGATTGAATGAATGGGAGAAACGTATCAAATCTGTACTAAAAGAATGACACGTTTAACAAGTGTTCAATCTTTCCTTGCGTGACTGTTCAGCATGAAGTAAGGCAGTAACTTTGTATGCTGTAAGTCTACCTCAGCTGCTGGAACACTTGTGATTCTGGAGCATCGTAGCCTGTGATTTGGAATAGGTACTGAAAATATCTTGAGCGAAAGGTGTTTATTTTTGTCTGGGTGGAAGCTGAACACTGTAAACCTTGCTCAAGTTTTAATATTGCAGTTTACTACCTTGCTGCACTGGGTGGATTGCACAGCCTTTAAAATATAATAGTTCACTTTTGCATTAAAAGCAAAGTGAGGTTATTTCTTTAATTAAAAAAAGCAAGACTCACTTGCCTTTGTGTCCAAATGGTTAGCGGAATCAACTTATTTTTCCTATATTTAAGCAATCTATTTTGCAGAAGAATTAATTCTCCACTTTGTGTTTCTCACTCCTCACCCATCCTTTGCGATTATCAGAATAAAACTGGTTACGACACTGGGTGATATCATTTAGGAGTACTCAGCCATAGGTGCAGTATTCGAGCCGTAGAAACCTCTGGACAAGAAATTGATTGAGGGATTCAAGAAAGAGATGGGTAGATTCTGTTGAATTGGATATATCAAAGGATTTGGCAATTGGGATTAGGTGAGGTTGTATGCAGTGCAATGGAATGAGCTCATTGGACTGAATGGTGAGTAATAGTTTTAGTGAGGAATAAATTGGGGTATAACATGCAATGTTAACTATTCTATGCTATTAAATACCTTCCTTGTTCATACAGGTTAGGAAGTTGTCTCTTTCTGCCATTGAGCAAAAATGTAGTTCCTGTTTTAGCTGATCTGGTTTTAGAACAAGAGAAGAAAACACAATATTACAGTGATCTGGATGCAATTGGGTACAGTATTGGTGTTCAGTGGACAGGACAGTGTACAATGTTCAGAGCTCCACGCCAGACAGCAGATGCTGTCTGACCTGCTGAGTGTTCCCAGCGATCTTTGTTTTTGTAGCAGAATCAAACTGTTACTTGAACTGTGAGTAATTTATACTTGTGGCCTGTACATTTCAAAATAATACTTTGTGCTTATATAACACCCTTCATGTAGCATAATGTCTTGGAGCATAGGGTTAGACATCGAGGAAGGAAGAGGTAGGTTTCCAGATAGGATTTAAATGTAGATAAATAGGGGACAAGGTGGAGGGATGGAGGCAGGGAGTTACAGGTTATAGGGGCATAGTGCTGAAAACTGAAATGAAACCTACTGACATCTCATTT